AGGAGGGGCCATACCCAGGTCAGGGGGGGTACTACGGGCCTTTCCCTCCTCCTCCTCCTAGCCTGTACTGGGGACCAGACTTACTCCACTGCCATCTGCATGAGGCGGAGCTGCCTCAGCCGTCACATTCCAGCCTGAGTAGGATGGGGGAAGCTGGGGGACCCTCTCTGGCAGGGCTGGGGGCAGGTGGCTGCGAGTTAGAAGTGAGAGGCACCAGCATAGCCCAGTAGGGCAGGGGGCTGTGGGTCGGAAGAGAAGAGCACCCGCAGGGCCAGGGCCTTGTGGGTTAGGATTGAGAGGCACCAGCAAGGCCAGAGAGCTGTGGCTTGGGAGTGAGGGGCACTGGTAGGGCCAGGGACCTGTGTGTCAGGAGTGACAGACATCAGCAGGGCCAGGGGGCTGTGGGTCAGGACTGGCTATTGCTCTTTACAAGTGGGTCCCGGCACAAAAAAGGTTGAGAACAACTGGACTAGATGACCCCTGGAGGTCCCTTCCAGCCTACACTTTTCTATGACTCTGACTCTATAATTACCTTCCTCCACTGTCACAGCTCCCTGAAGACCACCAGGGTGATGTTTACCTCAGCATCTAACTTCAGAGCATTTTGCTAAGGCTGGAGCCAGGACAGAGCTGAATTTGGAGGCAAACAGTGACACGCTGTGCATTATCATGTGACTAGCAAGTGAAATTTTGAATCCAAATGGCTGCTGGCAGCCAGATTCCTGGAAGCCTTGGCATGTATGGGAAGGAGAGTTGAAGGACTGAGCTCATGCAGCAGTCCTGGAGCATGACTTCAGCCTGGTTGCCTGCTGCGTGGTGACTTGGAGGTCTGCACAGGTGTGGGCAGTCAGACCCACTCCCAGGCCTAAATCACACTCCAGATATTACCATATGTTCTTGCTGCAGTGGGATTAGAGGGGGGAGAGGAAGACAGAGTTAGGAGAAAGTAGGAGAGCTGCCAAGATAAAGAATTTGTTACAGAGGAGTCATGTAGTGATCTCACACTAGAGATGAGTGAAATATTTTGTGTGATTTAACATTCTGTGAAAATACCCCAAACCACATGCAGCCCCTCCTTCTACACAACTGGCTGACTTGCTCAGAACCTCTATTTTTTATTATAATTTCATAGAGGTCTTTAAAAACCGGTTCTTTGGAACATTATTGATTTAGTATGCACTTCATTCTGGGAGGGTGTTTGATCTACTGTGTGTTCTGTATGAAAGGCCTTTGTGCGCTTGTAGGATTATAGGGTGTTGTAGGGGCAGTGAATTTTCTTGTATTTTGCCCTCCCATTGTATAACCAAAACAAAACTTTTGCTTGTGTCAGGGAACATACTTGGGGAGCTGAAAAGAAGTCTCTACTGTTTTTATCAACACAAGTAAACATTTTCCTCACCCCATTTCATGTCACCCTTTTTGAGGTTTTCTTTTGTTGGTAGACGCAGAGAAGTCCATGCAAAGTGTGGTAATCAATGTGTGCATCAGCAGCTGAACATAACTGTAGGGGCATTTCAAAATACAACAAAATCAATATTCCTGCATTTTGATTACGGTTCTGTATAGAGTAGGGGTTGGAAAAATATGGCCCATGGGCCGGATGTGGCTCGCCAGGCCATTCTGTCCGTCCCACAGGGCCCCTAAAAAGTTTAGAAAATTAATATTTATCTGCCCCTGGCTACCTGTCATGCGGCTCTCGATGGCTTGCCAAAACTCAGTAAGCAGCCCTCTACCCAAAATACTTGCTCGCCCCTGATATAGAGAGACCGCTGTTTGTTCTTGATGTGTCAGGAATAAGGTGCATTGGCAAAGCAGGACTGAGACATGGGAACAAGTTGACATATATAGTGTGATTTTGCAGGTCCATAGGTTGCCACATAATACCCATCTTTTGATCTGTACTTCTAAATCCAGGCCCTTATTATAAGTATGTTTAAACCTCACAATCTTTACAATGCAAATAAACAGTACCATAGTGAAGATGTCTGCCCAAGTCTATAAAATCTTGAAACAAAAGCCTCAAAAGGTGCGAACGAGGTCATTTAGTAATATATACTGTGTGTTCACTGAAGCGTAATGATGAGAATTTGAAAGAAACCCTGGTTGCCTATCCTGTTGAGTATTATTTTAGCAAATATAGCCAACTAAGGTGCTATTGATTATTGCTCAATATGGAGAGAGATACAGAGTCGAGAGGAAGCAGATTATTAGGGAATGATGTTGCTGCTGGTAGGTATTATAGGATTTGAGGCCTTTCTTGCCTAGTGTCTTACCCCCTTGCAGCATCAGGGTGAGATCTCAAAAACAGTATTACCTGCATGTTCTGGTTGGTCATTCCCTGTTGCCTGTCACTTCTTGATGTTTTTCTTGGGAGACAGTCCTGCAGGTATCCTGTGCAATGGCGGACAGACAGGGGAGGTGGGAGGGGGCCACGGCCACTGGGCACCGGCCAGTGGGGGACCACTGGCCAGGCCCTTCAGAGTTCTTATCACACAACATGACTTTAAGTATTTCTATGAAAGACTGGGGGGGGGAGGGCACAAATGCAAGCATTGGCCCCCAGGCTCAGGAGACCCATGGTACGTCACTGATCCTGTGTGATCTCTCTCGCTTGGTTTCTTTGTGGAGCTGCAACCTCCCCTTTACCACTCCCTTACCACATCCAGGGCCGGAACTAGCATCATTGTCTCAGTTCACTTTGCCCAGATAATATGTTCTCATCTAAGCTGCTTGTTGCTTGTTAAAAGAGCTGCTCCCCATTCGTTGGCTTGTCTTCAGCCATTCCTTGGCTTGAGCTAATGTCCCCATAACTAAACTGGTTGCGGCTTGGTGTAATATAGTCCTTTATAACAATAACTTAGGAAAACTAGCTTAAAGTTCAGTTGACCAGCTTCTGCTAGTATACTCTTGTGGCCACTGGATTCTCACCACACTAAATTCTGGGGCTCTTCAGCATCTCGCAGTGCCCTTTATTCTGATCAGGCCCTCTTTGTGTGTTGGCCCAGCCTTGATGTTGTCAGAGGTTTTGCACCCCACCCTGTTTCTAAGGCCTCAGTCTGCCACCAGGACTGCTCTCACCCCAGCAACTGCCTCCTGGGCTTGGACCTGTCACAGGGCTGAATGGCCTCAGTCTGCCACCAGGACTGCTCTCACCCCAGCAACTCCCTCCTGGGCTTGGACCTGTCACAGGGCTGAATGGATTTTCCCTGTCAGGCCTCATCGCTGTCCGGCTCCTGCCCCTTTATTCCCCATTGTTGGTTCCAATGCTGCCTGTCCTGTTTGGGCTCCAACCCCTCTTCCAGTCCTCTCTTAACAGGGGTGCACAACTGGCTTCACTCCTTGAGTGAGTCACATGCAGCTTCCCAGCTCTGCCTGGTCTCCATAGACCTTGTTTTCCATGGCAGCGACCCTTGCTGGCTGCCTACTGGCTCACTGTTCCTCTCCCCAGGTTTCTCCCTGGCCCCACCCTTTCAGCGAGCCATTCTCTAGCTTTCTTCCTTGGCTTCCCTGTGTTT